TATGGTAGAGAGGATATTATATTTCAATAATATCAAAAAATAATTTAAAATATATCGCATGCCTGCTTACAGTTTAACTTTGAAAATGGTCAATTCCGCCATAAACTCCCATATGTTTGCAAAATAAAATAAAATATTTGAAAATGTTTTGTGCCTATCATAAGCGCTAATAAATTCTAATATGTATAGAACAAAAGATTTTTTAAAAATTTAAAGTTTAAGGGGTTTATTTAGAGTTTTAAAAGTCAATAAAAAGGGAAAATAATGCAATTTTTGGATTTATAAAACAATTTGGAAACCCTGTAAATGATAATATATTAAAATAATTTTTTGTTCTATTCATATTAGGATTAAATTGCACATATGATAGGCATAAAACATTTTAAATACGATTGTTATTATTTACACTATACAATTATTATAGCTAATGATAATTCTTAATGTTCAGGTTAAATACCAAGTATTTGTTGTAAGCTAATTATGAGTAAATAATTTTTAAAATAAAGTATGAATAGCACGTTGAAAATATTCATTGTATATTTAATATTTTGAATTTTATTTATGAATATAATTGTTGAACAAAATTTGTGAAAATAGATTAATGATAGAAATGATTAACAATTTGTAATATAACCCTGCTACATTCATTCATACGTACACTGTTTAAAATGACTAAATACTTAAGTATATACTGACTGAACTACCCCAATTTCATCACACTATTATATCTTATTTTATTATTATTATTATTTATTAATATCACGTTAGCAACCACAATTAATATTAGCACCTGACCACAATGCTAACAATAATTGATTATAACATTATGCTACATTCACGTTGATAATCATCTGGTCAAAGTCAACATTTTCAAATTCAATTTTTAATCCAGAAAATTTAAGCTATTAAATTAAATTAAAATAAATTAATAAATGTATAATATATATATTATATAACATACAAATTAACTTTTTTAAAAATTATTTTAATTAATTAATAATAGGTTTCACAAGAAATTTATAGTTTAGTTATTTCTCTTTCAACGCCAAACTCGTTATCATCACTCAAATCCCTGTCCTCCAGTTCCTCCACCATTTGATTAGTGGTGGACCTCTTGAGATGTGACTCTTTGGCCAAATTCATCAAATGGTTGAACATATCTTCGCCGGTCTTTCTGCACATGTCGTACAACTGTCCCCTCCGTTGCAGTAAAGCGAAGGGTTCGTCAAACTCGACGATCTCTCCCGCGTCTAACACCTGATGGTAAGGGGAAAGGGAGGCACGGGATGGATGTATGAGATAATGACTACCATATACTGTACTATACAGTAATATGAAGTCTAGTCTAATGTGTAATAAAATATATACCAAAACGCGATCGCAGTCTATAATAGTGTTGAGTCTGTGAGCGATCGTAAGGACCGTACGGTCACTGAATTTGTGGCGAATTGTGGTCTGAATTAAGGCATCCGTCCGGTGGTCCACATTAGCCGTCGCCTCGTCGAGCACTAGTAGGCGGTTGTGGCGGAGTATAGCTCGAGCCAAACACACCAATTGGCGCTGACCTACACTCAGATTACCGCCCCCTTCGCTCAGTATGCCGTCCAGCTGTCCGGGCAGGTCCTGAACGGCGTGTCGGAGCTGCACCTCCTCTAAGGCACTCCATA